AGATAAACCCCTGAGATACGGCTGCTGTCAATCACTGAAGTATCCGACTTTGTGTTAGTGTTAATATTTGGATGACCTTTATGGGAATCAACAGCAAAGACATTGGGTGCAGACAAACAAGACAAAACTTTTTTTATTGCCTGCATGATCCAACAAGCAAGATGCTATGAAGCCCAAGTGCCAATAACACATTAGACCAAGAATGATCAGAACCCAGAATGTTCCTGTAATGTTCTGCATGTATTTGAGGTTGGAGTTGGCACATATGAATAGGTAGAAACTAATGTAACCTCCAATTTTAAGAAGATATCATTGCTAAGTAATACTAAACATGTGATCATTTTGGTTGTTGTTGTTCAACATGCGGGGAAGGTGAGACTTTGTACGTGGGGCACATGCTCTACCAGGGGAGTCACCACAGAGCCCCATCATGCTTTTAGCTTATTTCAGATTCTTACAAGACGTTGTAACGCTGGGCTAAACATTTACAAAATTAATTAACCCCGACTAACTAGTTAATTGTCAAGCCTGCAGGGGTTCTGCATACTTTGGCAGACTTGAGAGGCATGTCAAACTGATAAATACCTGTGTGACTGATAAGAGAGGTAAAAGGTCAAAGTTCCACGTGGAGATAACTGGGACTAGAAACATACAACAGGCAAAACCATAACTCCCTAATAAACTTAGTAAATACTAGGGCTGCAGTTACCCATTCTTTTAGTAATTCAGTTATCTATCGATTATTCTATAAGTTCTTTAAAGAAATTGAGTAGTCAGATAAGAGATGTTGAGGTCGGCCATTTTTTTCATTAAATCCCTTGCTTTATTCAATAGCAATAAACAAAAGAGGGGAAAAAAACAGGTCTCTTAAATTCAAATTAAACTGAGTTTTCCTGCTGGAAAAATGACTTGTTTTCTTGCCTCATTACTTTTTTGAACTATTGTTTTTTTGTTGATGTTTATCTCAACTGTTGACATTTTTCTGCCTCGTCATTGTGGGATTTATAGAGAATTATCATATCTCCCTACGCTAAAAATATAAACCACAACAACAATCCATTTAGATCACCACAAAGAGGGGACTTCCTTAAACAGAATAAGAATCACAGTGATATGAAAAGGGGATGTATGAGTCTACACCATCCACAGAGGTTTTGCACTATAAGAGCTGCATGCTTTAAGCGTGTGTGTCAATTAAAATATTTACAGTCAGCCAGGAATAAAAGCTGTACTTGTGTCAAATGTTTCTGAAAATATCTTGCTGTGTGGTAGTCTGGATTTAAACAAAGCCTCGAGGCAAATCACATGTAAATAGACACTTTTGAACGAGAACAGGGATAAGTCTGATACAGTAGTACCTAGTATGTTATTCTATATAGCCTCACCTAGCATTCTGCTCAGGCTCCTTTAAGTACTTTGGGATGAGAGCAAAGTACTTGCCCAGCTTCAGCCACAGGTCAGACTGTGGCACCCAGCCGTTGTGAGCATGGATGACATGGTACCTGGCCAGCTGCCTGGCAATAAGCCTAAAGGAAACAGAAATGGGTAGATTTGAATTACATCAGCATGCAGCTGTAAGCGACTGAGTAAATGTCATTGAAATGTTTAAGGAAGGGAAAAACATAAAGAATAGTCTTGTTAGAAAGTAAACAAACCAAACAAGCAGGGCAGGTTTTGGGCTAAAAAAAACAAATCCTTAAAAAAATGTATACATGTTAACTTGAAAAAGATTTGAGTGTAAGGTATACTTTATACTTTAAATACTGTAGCAGGGTACACCAGTTCAAGCTCAGTTCAGTGAGCTGGCTGCTCTTATTGGCTCTGAAGCCCCGCCCCCCGTGCAGGTAACAGAGTCAGGAGAGTCGGGGAAGGAGGGGATTTCCCATAGAGCCAGGTAGAGGGAAGTCACAGAAGAATATGGAATTTCTACAATACTTATCATGATACACTTGGTGGACATAGTAGTGACTATAATATACATTTGTTTAAGCTTATGACATGTTGACTTTTAGAATTAACAGTCATTTGACATGGTTTATCCCTACACTAGCCTTGGTTTGAAACTAGATACTGTACAAAAACAACTTACACAGGTAAATAATTTCTTAATGAATTATAAAAGGTATTTTTGTACATCCTTTCACTTTGTTCTTGTGGGTTGAAGCTATGTAGATTCTTACACACCTACATTTTGGTTAACCTGTTCTCAAGTCAATGAGTATGACTTGAGAATGTTTACATATTTTACTGCACTACCACTGGTGTATGAATGAAGGTTGGACTGAGTCTGACAGCTAGAATATTGTGTACATTTAGTAAAGGAAATATATAAAGACAAAGAGAAAGATGGGTTGGAGAAAAGAAAGGAAATGTAAAAAGAAACTGGCATGGCAAGCATAAAAATAAATCATATAGTAATAACTTATTTATGACACAACAGTTTTCATGTTAACAGTTAAAAAAATATATCAAATTGAAAGTCACATTTTTTCAAAACACCCGTCAAGTACATTTGTTTGCGAGTCTTTATTACCTGAAAACAGGCTGGCTGCGAATGTCCTCTGGCTCCAGGGCAGTTCCTTGCAAAAACTCATAACACAGGCCATTGTTGAAGGTGCAGTACAGGCGAGGTGCACAGCGGTGTGCTTGTAGTACTCGAAAACTTTTTACTTCATTTTCCCTGTCAACCAAAAGTTCTGTTTTGTTTCCATAAATTCGAACCAGCACCACATCCTGCATGACTGGACCCACGTAGCAGCCCAGCAGCTTATTGGTTATCCCATCTGTGAAAAACTGCAGAGACAAAAAAGAGTTGAACACAGGTGAATTAGAAAATATATTAAGCTGTTCTATGTTCAATCGTCATGACAACAGAGAGAAGTGGCACAATCCACCATACAATACCATCAAAGCACTGTAACAGAAAACCTACACTGTTTTAAATATTACTTCACTTCCTGGAACTTTCTGGATAGGACAAAGTTTTTTGATATTTTTTGGTGTTATGAGCAACTGTAGCAAACAAATTTCCCCCTGGGATTAATAAAGTATTTATGATTCTGATTTATGAAAAATGAGATAAATATATGTAGCCATGAAAAATGAGGGCATGTCTGGTTTGATTTAAGCTGAATGTGAAGCTTGGAACGTATCTGGGGAGAGGTCGGGGCTGCCAACATACCAGAGCTAATTGTTCACTCTATAAGGGAATCAGTGAGAAAAACAGGACTGTCAGGAATTTTATTTTGCATGAGAAAGCAATGACAGGCATTTGCTGAGTTACCGTTTTGCTCTCATTGAAGAAAATAGGCAAGAGTGGCAGCTCATGTGACCAGCTCTCATCCTGTGTTTACCAAGTGGAGCCACACCCCTAGTCTCTTACTGGAAATGGAAATAACTCTCTTTCTGAGTATCTGTCCAAACTGTTGGATACATACATGTTCCACTTGGCTTCTGTTGGGGAATGTATGTAAAACTGCTTCTTCGGTTTGCTTTATTTTTTTAAAAACGTACAAGAGTAGGAAAACAATTTTGCTTATTTTATCATACAAAGCTGCTTCTTAAAAAAAGTGAATGCAAATAGCCTAGCATAGTTATTTGTCTTTGTTTTCTCCAGACAAAAGTAAACACCAGAGCACTAATGATAAAGTCTATAAAGTTCATTAAAACGGATAAGCTTCTCACATTTTTGACCAATCTTAACAAAAAAATATGCATTTACATTTACTATTCCCCATAGAGTTCATGAGGTAACTTTAAAAAGCACTCCAACAATTAGATGGGGCAGTTTAATAGTCTTTAGTGTGAGGTTACTGAAGGAAGGTAGGTGCAGGCTGCAGACAGCTTTAATCAGAACCAGAGGTGACGCAGTTGATATTAGCCAAGGCAAAAACATTAACGTTAACCTTTATATGCAGAAATTATTAAACTATCTTCCCAGCATAAAGCGAGTAAGTTATTTACCATTCTTTTAGGGTAACATTATAGTATCATTCATTGCACTTCTTGGCATTTAAACCGCAGGGGTGTCATCCTGACATCATTTTAATCATTCCCTTTGCTCCTTTTTACCAAATAACTCTAACAGTGAGGTTAAGCTAGCTAACAGGCTTGAGTTTAAGAAGTGGAAACGTCGCTAACTAATCGTTTTTAAACAACTTTAACCACAAAGAGACAGTAATAAGGTTGGTTTGGGGGTGGGAGTGTGTGTGTGTGTGTGTGTGTGTGTGTGTGTGTGTGTGTGGGGGGGGGGGGGGTGGCTGAAACATGTCATTAAATCAGACGTTAACATGTAAATATTGAACATTAAAACAAACTGCACCTTCACTTTGACCTCAGACGGCTTCCAGTTCGGTCTCATCTCCTTGATCAGCTTCATTGCACCGGATCTGTAGTCGCTCTCGTCAACTGTCACATCTATTTTAGGCACAGCAGGGGCCTCGCTGGGTACGTGAATATAATTGGCCATGACTGAGTCTTTATTTCTTGATAATGTCTTTAAACTCAAACGAGAACTATTCCGCTCACACAGGCTATTTGCGCAATCTATGAAAATGTGTGTCTGTCTGTTGGTATATATAATGCTGGAGTAGTCGGTGTGCGGCAACGCCTCTCAAAAAATCCCACCCACCAGAAGAAAAAAAATGTTCTCCCGGTGCATGCTGGGTAGGCTGGTCGTTGAGTGACTCACTAGAAGCGCGTGTTAAATTTGTCAGCGTCTACCTGGAGGCGGAGCCCGGGCGGAGCTTATTATTTAAAGTACATTTAGGCTTTAATCTTCATTAAAAAATGTCAGTTAATTGATTTTCGCTATAGGCAAACACACACAGTAAGTTGAAAGACACAAACTTGTAATAATCAAAGATGTGAGGGTCAACTTCCAATGACAACACAAGCCGGTGTCTCTCGGTAACAACATACGAGCGTGCACTCAGGGTAGACGTGACGAGCTATGCCGCTGACGTCACGTCCGTGTTCTTATTGAATGAAAGCCTCCCCTGGCCTGAATATTTTTAAATGTCAAAGCTTCAAAGGTAGGAAGTGCAACAGAAAAAAGGGGTAATTCTATTCTAAATGGAGTCTACGGTTAGTCTCAGAAGCACACCAGATGTTAAGCTAGAAGAAATATACGAAACAGTTATCGCGTTTTTTAACACAAGACGTGTGTTTCTTTTACAGGCCTGCGGCTGGTTATCCGCCTCTGCAGCAGGAAATGATTGAAAAGGCCTGCACACTCACCTAAACAAAAAAACCGTATTGTATTCTGTTGATATAGACTGGATGCCAGGTAGTTATGATAACATGCAATGCTGTCTGAAGTTGTCGAATCAAGCTGATTTGGGATGGTTGAGCTGCGTATAACAATGTCATTATAAAATGAATTCATTGAAACGACAGAACATTTTTTTTATTTAACCATAACTAAAGGAAACACCTCTGTCAAAGAAGCCTGAGAGACCCATAAACCGGAATGTAAATGAAGATACTCTTTGTGTAATTCCATTTTTACCACATCAAAATTTGCTTTGGTGGCCTGCTGTTAAAATTCCTTGTATTGGATCACTCAAATATATTTGATATCTATCATGATGTGAGCCACTAGTGTTGACTAACCTCGTGAATTAAGTATTGCTCTACCCACTCACATACACACGTAAGCATGGGTGAGCTGCCCTGTGCAATAAGTCAGTTATTACAGGCCACTAGGCATCTCCATTCCTGCTGAATTAAAAACATTTTCCTGCTCAAGCCGACCTCAACAGTAATAAAAGCCCTATAATTCCTGTATATTGCACTTATTTCCCTTTTCAAAAATGAAGACCTAACTCCACACTTTAAAAGAAGGCTAATGGGGGATGGTAAATATAAGTGTAGAGGTTTCAGGTGGTGAACCACAGACACAGAAAACATTAACATGAGACACGAACCTGAATGCAAGAAGAAATAAGACTTTTCACTTATTTTATTCATTCAAATTGTGATTTTGAAGATATGTCGCTTCAGTTTAGTTCTAATATTCTGAAAGGGGAATTTCAAATAGCATCATCCCCAAGAGCAACACATCCAAATAACAAAAGACAGCTTTGTGAAAGCTTGATAATGTCTATTGTTAAAATGTCTACTGAGGGACAGGAGGAGCTGAAGTTGCTATGTTGGTAGAAACTTGATCAAGTGTCTCTAAGACAACAGAGCAACTATAGGATTTCATTCTTTCATACCATAAAGTATTGATGAACACGCCCCATTCTTTCAGTAAAATATCACTGTCATACATATATGTAAAACTAACATCATGTTCAGACATATCTCCCATGTAATTATTTAGTACACTTGGTTGAAGAAATAATTTATTTGAAAGGAAAAATACAGTCTGTTTCTCATTGCCAGAAAGTATGGGACACACCCATCAGCACAGACAGATGACTGATGACAGATGGCATGTTTCCTCATGCTTTGAGATTTTCTTCAGGCATAAGTATTCTTACAGGACCAGAGTACAGAGTGAGATTCTGGGGGATCTGATGCTCAATCAAAATAGTCCTCTATATCAATGTTTGGGTTGAGCAGCTCCTCTCCGTAGGGAGTCAGATCCATCTGGTTGAGGATCAGGTTCTCAAAGGTCTCCTCAAGGTCCGTTTCCCCGATCAGCACAGCTCCAACCATCCTACCTCCACTGAGAATGACCTGGAGCACGAGAACAAGGTTAATCTAGGTGACCACAAATATTCCATACACGTGATGTTTCCTCTAGGGGCTGAGGAAGTTCTGATGATGACGTGAGTTAGGATCTTCAGATGATTGCCCTTTATATCTACAAACTTGACCTAATTACCAGCTGCTCCTGGCTTATTTTAAAATAACAAACAGAACAACAGTGGCTCCTTTCACAAAGCTACACAAATATCAAAAAAGACTTAAAGCATCCAAACAGTTTAAGCTTTGATAATCGTAAACAAACTAAATGTGTTAATAAATGAACAGATGCTTTTTTTATTTAATAAATCATTCAAAGTTATTAAATGAGAAGCACATTAACTAGACTGTTAAAAACAACTGATGCATGAACACAAAATAATTAACCCATTGTTATTCTCTTCATGGTCACCTTGACATACTCCAGGCCTTTGGTACAGCGTACCAGCAGCTCCTGGTCGGGCCCCAGGCCCTGCCCATTAAACTTTCCCAGCAGAACCACCTGTGAAATAACCAGCAAAACACAAGGTTGTTTGAGTACCAAGAAAATATAACAACGCTATAATCCGCATAATGGTTCACTGACAAATCAGTTATTCATTTGAGAACTTCACTCCCCTGCAACCAGCTACTAATATCAGAATCAAGTACATTTACACATACAAGGAATTTGACTTGGTGTTTTGGTGCTAAACAATTAACAAGGAAATAAAGCAGAACTAGCAACAACTTAAAAAATACAGTATAAGAAGCTATTACAATATATAAAATAGAATTAAAAAATGTAAAATATAAAAAACAAAATGTACAAAAGGTGTAATGTAGGAGCTGTGCAGTGGACTATGAGAAAACATCTTAATGTGTGTAACTACTCACAGAGTGCATGTAAGGAAGATAAATACCTTGTAGTTAAAGAATTTGGTGATGTGTGAGAAGAGTTCAAAGCAAAAGTCCAGTTCTATTGGCTCCGACAGGACATGTGATGCCATGCATCGGCCTGCGTACCAGCCCATCTGACGGGCCTGTGTCCACAATCGCATCTGTACATACATGTAACATACAGCAAAAACAACATTTTTCATATTCTTTACAAATAAAATAGAGCAGAAAATCATTTTTCCTTTCTTGCCACTCTCAATAAAACTGAAACAAACATTAGTGTGAGTTTAACGATAGATGAAAGGATCAGTTTCAGTTTTTAATCATTTTAAGTTGTAGAAACTTTATATCTTTTGAAATAACTGAAATTAAACCAATTGAATGGTTCTGAACTAAGTTTTGGAATGTGTGTGATATTTGATTTTTCATTCTTTACACCTCTTGTAGGTATTCCAATGTGAAAGATGACATGAGTTAGTTGTTGGACAAACAATAAAGAAACAAAAAGATCTGAGACAACAGTGGAATTCTACACAGATTTGTGTTTTGTCATTTAGTTTACCTGCTGCCACAGTAGGCTGTGTTCCCAGCATGCAGTGCACACATCCCCTGCAGCATACACATCTGGCTCTGATGTCATCATTTGGTCATCCACCCGCAGGCCCCCATCATCTGCCAGTGCAAACTGGAAGTAACATATTTGTCATATTTTTTTTTATTAGAAAGAGAGATAAAACAATCCAAATCTGACATGTTTGATCTAATATTAAAACTGGTTTTCAGGGTCATCTTCCCTCTTGTGACATGTGAGGCATTCACAGTCACACCCTAGTGCAGAGAGCTTTTCACGATTTTCTGTTGAACTATTAACAGATAGTGAACTGTTAGACTTTAAGCGTTTGCAGAACAGTAAGGCAATTTTTTTCTTGCAAGAAAATTCCACCAATGTATCTGCAGTAAGATTGTGAAGTATTTACCATCAATTTACACAAATCCATGGACCTTAAAGGTGCACTATGGAGTTTTGCTAGAGAAATGTGAAAGTTGTATTTTCTTTGAATTAAGTTTGTGTATTCAGTTCAGAAAATATAGCATACAATTGTTTCACTTCTCCAACTTTAAAATTTCACCACCAAATCTACACAGTGCACCTTTAACATTTTACTTAAAGAGGAAAGTAAAGATTGAAGCAAGGACTAATTACTATGGTTTTGTCAAACATCAAGCTTTAGGAACATGCATAAAAAAGATTGAATCTCACAGTGGAAGCCCTGTTCTATCTACTTACATTGTTGCCATGAAGAAACGGCTCGGTGTTTGGTACGACACCTGTGGCACTGACAACAAAATCACAGCCAAATGTTTTGCCGTTGGTTAACTTGATGTAAACTGGCCAGGATCCTTCTAAGAGGAGAGAAAAGTATGAGGAATGAGAGGCTGGAGTATGGAAACGGAGTCCTAGTAAACCTAATTCATACCTTGCTCATCATTGAGTTCTTGCTGCGGGGAATGAAGCAGCTCCTCGGGGGTGAAGATTCTTTCCACTTCACACTGGTATTCCAGAGAAACTCTGCGGGACAGCTGATCAAACACCAGTGGATCGAGGAGGCATGAGAAGATAAGAAACAGATTACATGGTCTTCAGAGGTATTTGCGCTGATATCCAAACAAATACAGTTGTGCTCATAAGTTTACATACCCTGTCAGAATTTGTGATTTTTTGGTCATTTTTCAGAGAATATGAATGATAGTACAAAAATGTTTCTTTCACTCATGGTTAGTGGTTGGGTGAAGCCATTTATTATCAAACAATTGTGTTTGCTCTTTTTAAATCATTATAACAACAAACTACCCAAATTACCCTGATCAAAAGTTTACATACCCTGGAGGTTTTGGCCTGATAACATACACTCAAGTTGACATACACGGGTCTAAATGGCTACTGAAGGTAATCTGCCTCACCTGTGATCTGTTTCCTTCTGTTAACTTCAGCTGACATACAGGACTCTCTAAAAAAAAGTGGTTCATTCAAGATGCACAATAAGGAGGCACTTGAAGAAAAATGGGCTGCATGGTCGAGTCGCCAGAAGAAAGCAATTACTACGCCAATGCCACAAAGCAGCTCGCTTACAACACGCCAAACAGCACAGAGGCAAGCCTCAAAACTTCTGGAACAAAGTTATTTGGAGTGATGAGACCAAAATGGAACTTTTTGACCACAACCATAAACGTTACATTTGGAGAGGAGTCAATGATGAAAAGTACACCATTCCTACTGTGAAACACGGAGATGGATCGCTGATGTGTGAGCTACAAAGGACCAGGGAACTTGGTCAAAATTGATGGCAAGATGAATGCAGCATGTTATCAGAAAATACTGGAGGAAAATTTGCACTCATCATCCTGGAAGCTGAGCATGGGACGCACTTGGACGTTCCAACATGACAATGATCCAAAACACAAGCCAAGTCGACATGTCATTGGCTACAGCAGAAAAAAGTGAAGGTTCTGGAGTGGCCATCTCAATATCATTGAGCCACTTTGGGGAGATCTCAAACGTGCAGTTCATGCAAGACAGCCCAAGAATTTACAGGAAGTGGAGGCTTTTTGCCAAGAAGAATGGGCAGCTTTACCATCTGAGAAAATTAAGTGCCTCATCCACAACTACCACAAAAGACTTCAAGCTGTAATTGATGTCAAAGGGGGCAATACACAGTATTAAGAACTAGGGTATGTAAACTTTTGATCAGGGTAATTTGGGTAGTTTCTGTTGTCATTATGATTTAAAAAGAGCAAACACAATTGTTTGATAATAAATG